TATTTCCTGAGGTTGGTAGAACATTCCATCAGAACTCCTAGACTGATTGTGTTGCTCCAAATGGATATTTGGTTCCTGAGTCAAAAGCCCTGCAGTTGGTAAGGTTTGAAATTTTGATACAAGTGTGGCCCAAAGTTATACACACAACATATCAAGTAAGCAGCAGTAGTAGCTTCACCTAATGGAACCCAGAATTACTACTTGCCCATGAAGTCAATGTCCCCTCTTTTTGTCTGTGTTGATGAAATCGGCTCAAAACCGCTTCGCAGGGACAGGTCTAAGTTCAAATGACATGCTGGACGGTGTGTACCCCTGAGTGATCGTAAATCTTCACCACGATCTTTCAAAAGGAGATAATCATATGCTTAACATATCAATACCGAGATGAAAATGCCAGACTAATACAAACCGCAATCTGAACCAAGGCGTTGGTGATTAACGGTGTTCCTTTCGTCCAGTAGGAAAGCTTCGGTCTTGATGGAAGGTATATTTGTAACGCTTCCTGAATCAGCATGGGCTGGTTGAAAATTCACCTCCTTGACGCTATCAAGAATGATCAAATTACAGGGGCGTCAGCGAGTGGCATATAATTCCTTTGCTCAACCTTCAAAACGGCTTAACTGATCACTAGACTCCCAGATGTTTGTCTGCTTTTCCGGACATGGCCCGAGCGGTGGTCGACCTGAGATGACTAAACCAAGGTGAAAATGTGGAAGGAAAACGAGTGGTATTTGCACTACCTTTTTCATGATGGAGCTCAGGGCTAAGGATTTGTTATGGCAGCTTTGAAAAATGCTGACTGGGTGAAGAAATCCCCCCTTTACTTAAAGGTATGACACTGGCTCACTTCTGCCAAGTGTCACAGCGGGATTCTGTAACAGCGAGTATTTCATAATAACAAACACGTTTCTTAAAGCTAGCGCACCCAAATATCTTGATGGTGCTGTGAAGCATTGGCTGTGCCCTTTGAATAGGACTCTGGGAATCCCCTATGCTGAATAGGGTAGGGGGCACCGAGCAGGAGGGATTTTCAGGCCATACCAACAGGTTTGGTACCCAGAACCAGAATCAAACCAAACAACATGTTAATTACTTGGCCTTTGGAGATGATTGCTCTTGTGCATTTTGGGCAATTCAATCAAAATAATCTGTATGAACATGCCCCACTTCTTGATAGTATTTTGGGACAGCTTGTGTCAGCTAAGGCTTACATTCAAGAATTACAAGGTTGTGCTGTCTTAGCTGTCCTGGATGTGAAGAAAGAGGCCATGGTTCCATGGATAAGATGGTCCAGCATTTGCTGGTCTACTCTGCAAGTCAGGCAAAATGTCTGCGTTTGAATGGTCAATTATTCAATATAGAACTCAGCCAACATAAGTAGAATCAATTGAATTGGTTAATTGACATTCTTGATGAAGCAGCAAGCATAGCAGACTGCATGAATGAGATGTCCATAAATTGAGCCCAAGTTTCTCAAACTTGTCAATGGATCTGACCAAAAACTGGACAGTTTTTTATTTGAATCTTCACCAAATTTCTAACATTCTTCATTCAAAATGAAACTCTCATTTCCTTTGATTATCAGTGGAATACCTGACTTTGATTTCAACCAAATCATCTTGACAAGATTAAATTGAAATTTATATGTTAGTCATTCCATGTGCAAATATGTTTGAATCTCTATATTGTAGTGTTAGAACCCTAGGTAGATAGCATGTATGTATATGATTATCAACAAAACCTACTCCCTATTTAACCCCATCTTCATTTATTTCTTCTTCTTCATTGATTTCATCTCTCTTTTTTGATTCAATCAACCAAGTACCGGGGTTCACATTTGAATTTTTTGCTTCTGACCCTACCTAAAATTTGTTCTGGTTGCTTTGTTTTATCATAAAATTGAGAACTTGCTGATCACCCTCTGGACACAACAACTCAACTGAGCAACACCTACATGTTGCTGAGGTGTTGTACAGGACCCAAAGAAAAGATCCTGAGGTCCTCGACTTGATCGGTCACATGCTGGTGAAGTGAGTTACAAAAAATGCTTAAAAAGCTTATTTTATGCGTTTCTGAGGCTCACTGAACTCACATCTGGAAAAATCCAAATGTGAACCCCGCTAGTAGATCCACATTTTTTGTTGTATTTATTCTAAGATGTCATGAAGTAATTAAGCTGGCCAGCGACCGGACATGGATCAATGAATTACTTCTTTGGTTTTTTTTTTCCTGTCTCAGAGCTGATCTAGATGGCACATTCCATTCTCACAGTTTTCTGTACTTGTTTTCTCATCTCTCATCAAAAGCATCACCCTTTCTCTCTTCATACATATCTCAATCAACATTCACCTTTTAGCACACCCCACCATGCTTACCTGAAACCATGATCAACATCTGATAATACAGGCCAGCTGAGCACTCCAATTTTGGACATTTCTCCGATTATTGGGACCTCAAAAGCCATGCCTATTTACATATGCAAATTAATTAAAAGTAAATCAATCATAAAAGTACAATTACAATTTGCCATTTGATGGCAGAACGTACCAGAGGATTTAAGAGTAGGATAGTAAGTAGTAGTAACGATGGATTTTGGGATCCGATAGGTTATGTACAATCACGTTGAAAGTGAAAGAAACAAAGAAAAAAAAAGAAAAGAGACTATTTTTTTAGAAGTTTTTGTGTGCATAGATTGTTTGGTTATTTGATAGCGTGAGAGGAAGAAAGGATAGGAAAGGATGAAAGAAGCTCTTGCAAATCCAATTATTCAACAACAAGGAAATACAGAGCGAGGAACGAGAGGAGATGGAGAGGTAAGAAACTAAGAAAGATGGAAGTACTGATTGGGCTCGAAAAGGTAAAGGTGTAGACGGGCGGACCTGCAGCGATAAACCAAGCCGAAAGTGTCTGAGGCTGTATAAGTCAAGACAACGAGCTCAATCAAGGCCAAGAGATCTATTTGATACGTTTTAATCTCTCGGTTTGGCCGTGAATACGGTTGTCGAGTCTGTCGGTTTTGGTGGACATGCCTTCCAATTTACGGTTTTGGGAGTCGATCTCTGTGCCCATGGTTTTGGACATCAAGTTCAAGCGAGAGGTCAGGCCAGAGATCTCGTTGAGATTGTCGTCCAACTCATCCTCCAACTCGTCGTCACTTTCGGTGTTCTCGAATTGGTATCGAGCCTTATCGGCCAATCTAGACCGTAATCCTCCGGGTGCTCCTTTTGGTTGATTGGCACCCTTGTCTAAAGCCTTCAAGGTTTCTGCGGTCCTCTCCCTAGATTCGTACTGTTGACGACGAACCTCTTCTCGCTCGGCCTTTTCCTCCTCGTGTCGTGATAATAATTTCTGCTCGTGTGCGTCTCGTTTGCCTTTCTTGTTGAAGGTGAACGTCGGTCTGAAGATCGAGCGATTCAAGGCAACGATCTCTTTCTGTTGGTCGTCAGCTCTGACGGCGTGGGCCTTTGCCATATCCAGATGATTCTCCGTGTTGGCCAATCGGTCTAAGTTTGAGGTAATCAAGGAAGGTCAATCATTCTGATGGTGAGCATGCAGGTAAATTAAAAGATAAAAACACAGATCGTAAAGACTAACCAGATTGTTCCCCAAGTCGGTTCATAGTATTACGGGCGGTTTCCTCGGCCTCTCTGGCAATTCTTAAGGCGTTACGAGTACTACTCAAGCTTTCCTGTTTGGTGAATTTGATCTGTTGTTTGATAGCCTCGACTTCTTCATCCTCATCATCGAGCTGACTTCCAGAGGATCCTGGTGGACCATCCATGTCACGGTCGACGAATGATCTATTGGGTGGTCGCGCCCCTTTGAAGAGCTCTTGTCGGTTGGCATCCGGGTTTCCAAATCTGTCGTTGGCCATCGGTCGGCCTGAGGAGGATGGACCAGCCGGGTTCCTGCTCGAGGATAACAAGTTTCGGTTTACCGGGGGCGCTCGGGCCTTGGGCTCCTCCACAGGTGGGATCTCGACAGCTTTCTTGCGACTGAACATCGTCGGTTGTTGTTAACTTTTGCAGGTGGATGTGAAGTGGTCAAGAGGTCTGAGTTGAAGCTTCGAGGGGTTGTCGATGGATGGATAAGAAGGGTTGTTGGGATGATTTACTATGAAGAGGATGAGGTTATTATATTAAGCACTTGACCAAATCCAGCGACCATCAATCAAGCAGCCACTGCCACCGTTGTCCGTGCCGGGTTGAGATGGGCTGGGGTGCGAGCAGAGGGGGCTAAGCCTCGATACTGCTTGCACAGCATCTCATCTTCAACTGCAGAGGATGCTTACGTAACCCCTTCCGGCACTCTGTCAATGATGTCAATCTCTTTCAACTGTAGTCACGTCCACCGTGAGCGTCAAAGCTGAATCAAGTGTGGTTTCCTGTCGTGAACGCATTCTTCTTTCACCTGGTTAAGCCTGGCAACACCCACTGATCGTCATGATTAGTAGTGTACGTAGCACATTCAAGCAAGGATAATGGAAGCTTCGTTGCTACATAGTAATTTAAATGTATTCATGGCTCCAAGAGCATCGTGGAAATTTGCAGCGATACGGAACGGTTGCCAGTGACAACCTCAAGCGAAGAAAGAAAGCAGCTTGATGAGTCTGTTAGGGCATGGAGGCTTGGCGAAGAAGAAATTTCAGGATACAAGTATATAAAGATCTCCACAGCTTCGGAAGTTGATGGTAGTTGGAAGCCATTGGGCTCGCGGTAAAACTGAGGCAATTCGGAAGAAATGTGTGCGTGTGTGGATATACAATTGGTCCAGACATGACACGCCCGTAAGATTAGAACATGAAAATTTGTGTAAATGGTTTAAATGATCCGAATCATACAAGATACGTACCCTAGTGCAATCACATGTGTGCGTGTGTCTACTGCCACCATCAGTCTTCAAGCACCCGAAAAGAGGAAACTAGCTCAAATGCAGGCACAATTAGTCACTCCATCTATCCAAACCTGAAGGCCCCTGGTCGGCGCTGTCTGGCCATGTGGGCAGAAGGTTGCACTGAGACACAAGAGTTTTTATTATCGGGAGTCAATCAGTCATATCATGGGAAAGCTGGAGCACATCCTGTTCTTGATTTTGGCATCCTCCTCCAATCGACCATCCCTGTTCCCTGGTGCAACGTCAAATCAATCAATCCATGACTCACATCTCGATATATCAGTTTTGTGTTTATTATTGTGTGCGTGAAAGTAAAAGAAAACACATCTATGTATTACAATTTCCGAAATGGTGGACTGATTGGGTATATTATTCAAGACATGGTTAAGGTTCAATGTCCTGAATTTCGGATCGGGATTTGGGTTAGTCTTTTGAGATGAGATTTGACGGTTGGCAGGGGGACTTCGTTGCGGTGGAAGATTCCGGCAGCCAGGCCGGCCTCGACGTTTGTCTGCAGGAACAAGTCTTCGAAGTCTTGGGCAGAGCCGGCGCCCGAGCTAGCGATCACGGGAATCGAGACGTGTCTTCTGACGAGCTCGACCAGACGCAAATCGAAGCCAGACTTCGAGCCGTCCTTGTCGACCGAGTTCAAAAGGATCTCACCCGCCCCAAGAGCTTCGACTCCAGTGGCCAACTGAACAACATCTACTGGTCGACTTTCTCTTCCCCCCTTGATGGTACATTGGTACCAGCAAAATCGTTCCCCGTTTGGCCCCAGATCAGCCTTTAAGTTTTGCGAGTCAGACCCCGCTCCCAAAGCTGAAGAAGAAAGATCTACCACACAAGGTTGATGCTCTGCCGGTGCATCCTGGATACTTGAGACATAAACCCGTTTTGGATCGATGGAGACCACCACAGCTTGTCTCCCATATACCCTGGCAATTTCGGATATGCTACTCTTGGGGAGTTGTTTGCTTGTCAGATAAGATTCAACAGCGAGCACTGCATCGCCACCAATGCTGACTTTGTCGGCTCCAGCTCGAAAATAGGCAGTAGCAACTTCGAGGGCAGAGCGCGAGGTTCCGTCAGGCTCGACCGTATCTCTGATTCCACCTCCGACACAGAAGGGTACGAAGACCGTCTCGGCGGCCTTCTCGAGTACCGTGAGCATGGGCTGATCGTTAAGAGGACAAGATCGAAACGAGGTGATGTTGAGAAAAGTGATTTCGTCGGCCCCTTCGTCGTAGTACCGACGAGCGAGCTCAACCGGTTTGCCGAGATTCCGGACTTCGCCCTTGGTGCTCACGTCGCCTAGCTCGGAGCCGTTAGCCTCCCTAACATCATACTGGTCTCCCTTCGTGACCACCAAGTCCCCGTTGTCGTTACTTCGGACGTCCAAACACGCAATGATTCGCTTGGTCAGTCCAGATCGAGTCATCAAAGTTTGTGGATCCATTGGGGCTGGGATCGTGAGCGGGACATCAGAATAAGGAGTAATTAAGTCAGGTTCCGACAGCCATCCTTGCAGAAGTCGGAGACCCTCTGGCCCGGATTTTTCGGGATGAAATTGGGTAGCAAAAACATTGCCGCGTCTGATGCTGCTGACGAATACTTCATCTTCGTAACGGGTGAGTGTTTCTGTCCATCCATCCATGGCCTCAACGTTCGAGGCACGATATGAGTGAACGAAGTAGAATGCGGAATCTGAGTCGGAGCTTCCGCTTGAAGATCCACTGGGAGATGTGATTTTTAAAGAATTGTTCCAGCCCATGTGAGGAACTGCTTTGTTGGTCGATGAGAACTTCTGAACATGCGATGGGACGATTCCTAGTCCAGGGACTTGAGGGCTTTCTTCTGATGACAAGAACAGGGCCTGATTTGATAGTGAAACAAAGGAGGAAGAATATCGTTAGCATGACCGCCAGGATGATCAACGAGTGTTATTATTGTAGAGAATTGTAAATCACCTGCATGCCAATACAAATGCCCATGTACGGCTTTCCCGATCGGATGTATTCGATCAACGGTTCAGCGTATCCTTTGGCTCGAAGGGCTTCCATGGCTGGTCCAAAGGCTCCAACGCCGGGGAAAATCAATTTCTGGATACAGTATACGTTAGCAAAACGGAAGCAAAGAGTACAGTTTCTGGATATCAGCACCTCTTGATAGGCTGTTCTTTTGACCGAGGAAGGAGGGAGAAGTCTTGCTAGGGAAAACTGAATATCTTAGGGAAAAAAAGTCTTCACTCAACTGTTGCAGATTTGATATCATCAGGCGAGTTGACCCATTTGAACTGGAATCCTAATCGGTTGATGGAGTTAGCCAAAGAGCGTACATTGCCAGCTCCGTAGTCGAGAAGATATCTGCAAGATTTTCCAATTCAAGTTATATCTCATCAGTCTCTATCTCGAAATTATTAAGTGAGAGAGGCCTGAGAAAACACTCACATCATCTTGAATGTTGGTTATTAGTTGGTCCTAATGATAGTCGATCCACCACGAGAGTTAGGAAACTTCTGATTGTACCAATCTTCCATATGGGTGTTATCAGGTGTCCGGCCCGCCCGGGTGAGGATCGTCGGAGTTTCGTGACATGCCAGCTTGTGGGTTTGGAAGATCCCGGAAAGGGATAACAGTGCGGCTGCGCCGGCGCATACAAACACAACGTGCCGTACCGTTCGGCGTTCCTGTGGCCGACGGTTCAGCTCCAATGCTCCATGGATGACATCAACGATCAACTTCTGGGGAATGGTAACTCGCCCCTAAATAAATGGGTCCCCATCCGGACCCACCAGCCCAAACTTCTCATCACCCATCCCGGTTGCTTCTTGCACCCCTTCAACAACAGATTCGGGCTTCAAGTTACAAGGGATCAACTTTGTAAAACGGCAAATTAGAAAAACCAGAAGCCATTCAAAGTTGCTGACGGATCAAAAAAATAATTTGCGGCACCCACCTGCAGATCAAGCGATTTCTGAAAGCCTCCAACTTCAATCTCAAAAGATCACCGAGTACGCCTCAGTTGCTGATAGCACAAATACTGGTTGCAGATGGCAACTGGCCTATTAATGTTCTCCTTGAAGGGCTTTTGAGATCAACGATTTCTCTTTCTTGGTTCTCAAAAGAGTGCATGCATACATACACCTGACCATGTCACCCACCCCAACCTTGTTTTCAAAAACTGAAGCTAGAAAGCTCATCAGCAGATCTTGATAAGCCACCAATTTCTTTCTTGAAACCCCTGTGTGAGATCTTCATGCGCTAACACTCTGCTGAAAGAACTGGGGTTGATTGTGCTTTCAAAGAAGCCTCTTTGGATAGGAAAATCAGGCACGTTATCTTGGCCGAACTCGAGTACGTTTCCCAAAGTGCCATCAGTGTGAATGATTGCAATGATCCCATCAGTTGAAAAAAAAAGATCAACAAAGCCTTCTCCCACTTTAATTAGGGGGCCATTCTGTGAGTTATGTAACGGCCGGATGAATGGTTGGGCCGTCTTTGGCATGCGTGTGTATGGTGTATATGCGTCTCGGTCACTGGTGGTTAGGGAAGTTGCTGGGCTGAAATTTGACTGTAGTCATCTTGTGTGCTCAATGGACATCCATCGCCTGAAAGTTAGCTCAACACAGCAAATTGGGGTCTGGGCGCATGCTGAGTTGCTGTGAGGGACCTGACACCCTCGGGGGGATTTGATTCGTGAAGATTCGTGGAATTTGTCGGTGGAACTTGTGATTGAGGGATGGCTTTGTAATAATTGTGCGATGATCGATGAACTCATAACTTGACTGCAAGAAAGGGGGATCAGCGTGATGGACAGCACGGACGCATGATGGAAGAGCCGAAGAGAAGGAAAACCGACTGGAGAAGATGAAATCCATCCAAGCGGTCTCATCAGACAAACTTTGCTCAACCGTGAGGAGATGTATACAAACAGCAGACACATAAGAGACTCGTCACAGGTTATATTCCATATATCGTAAGCTTTATAAGCCACACATGAGGCAGTGGGAAGTGCATAAATGCTGTGCTCGTCGCACTGCACTCGGTCTCAGTGGAAATGAACATTAAAACAGCCGGAGACAACGTGGCCCGTTGTTTGGCCATGAACTCGCCAAGGGTCTGACTGATCTGAAAACGGATTTCCTGAGTCGCATAGCTCTTGGATATTTAAAGCAGTTCCTTCTCCTGGAGAACGAAGGACAGGGACCGATTAAGAAACGCATTTCATCATACACTTCTGACCATCTCGGAATCCTACGCGAGAGTCATCATGTCTTCTAACAAGTTGGTCTGGTTTCTTTCTCTTTCTGTTCTCCGGGCCCTTGGTAGTTGCTGCTTCTCGCCAGTTTGTCTCGTATCAAACCTCTAGCTTTGCCAGCGATTTGTCTGGGGTGAATGAACTACTTATGTGTTGGGCGGCGCTCGTATTAAGACTGTGTATAACTTATCGAGCTGGTATCGTCTACATATATGTAGTAGAACCCTATTTTCTTGATCTTTTGATGGCTCTGCTTGCATCATGATTTGAAAAGCTCGAAGATAAACTAACTGACCGTTTGTTCTCTTCATACCCGTTCCGTTGACTTCCAACGTTACTCAACTGCTTTCCAGAGTTGACCTCAAGAACATCCAAGGCGATATCATTATCGGTTTACAGAAACGAGTTGAAGCCTTCTGGTTTTGCACCCTAAAATCTGAATCCAACTCTGTCGAAGGTTTTCGTAGAAACCTGAAAGACTCTTTACTTCCGTTGATTACCACCACTCAAGACGTGCTCGACACACAAAAAAAGATCAATGATCATAAACGAAATAAGAGATCCGAGGGGGGGAACGACCTGTTACCCATCACCCAGGTCAACCTCGGATTCAGCTTTGCCGGATTGAAAAAATTGGGACTTAAGCTGGAAGAGATCCCAACCGGTGGCGACGGAGTCTTTTCGAAGGGCCAAAAGGTTGATGCGGTCGATAACTTGGGAGACCCCGTCGACCCAAAGACGAAAAAGTTGAAGACCTGGTCTAAAGACTTTTTGCATGAAGCCAACTCGATCGATTTCGTCATCTTGATCACGGCTCCGGACTGCAAGTTGTTGGATCAAAAACTAGACCAGCTTCGAAAGAATTTGAGCGGGTTTTTGGCCTCTTCGTTTGTTCGCAAGGGTAATGTTAGACCCGGTAATGAGGTCGGGCATGAGCACTTTGGGTTCTTAGTTGAGTGTCTTTCCTGCTTTTTTTACCCTCATGAGTTTTGATATTTTCCACGAGCGGCAAATTGAGTCAATCAACCAATTACTTATACTGATGATGAACAAACCAATCTTAAAAGGACGGGATTTCCACGCCAACAATCGAAAACATTAATGCCCAGCCAGGTGATAAGAAGAGTGGAATAGTTAAACCAGATGTGGTTTTACTCGGCCAACCTGCTTCGGGTGGGAATACCAATAACTTGGATCCGAAGCAGGCTTGGATTAAAGATGGCTCGTTTATGGCTTTCAGAGAGCTCCAACAACTCGTACCAGAGTTCCAATCCTTCTGCGACGAGTCTGCCAAAAAGCTTCAAAACCCTAATGTGTCTGGCGACTTCATCGGGGCTAGAATTGTTGGCAGATGGAAATCAGGTGAGCGCTTTCACCTCGTCTTTCCATTTTCAACTCAAGAAACACGAAGAATGTTTAGCGCTTCTTTATTGAATAACCTCCATCCTTGTCTTGTTTTAGGTGCCCCACTTACCTTGACCCCAGTCCAAGATAAACCGGAACTGAATCGAGCACAGGACTTCGACTATTCCGATGAATTGAAACAAGAACGTTGTCCCTACGCTGCTCACATAAGGTATCGGCTCAAATTTATGAACCAAAAGGATACCAAGTCCAATTGTAATTGAAATTATTATTATTATTTTTTTTGCTGTCTCCTAGAAAAACTAACCCGCGTAATGGCATAGCTGGTGCGGATCCCAACACGGCCGTCTTGCCTCATCTTATGATCAGAAACGGCATCCCTTATGGTAAGTCCTGGGACAGCTCTTGGAATTGCATTTATCTCCATGTTTGGATTTTGATTTCGCATGGCCTGAAGAGGATTGACCATGGATGTGTTGCATTCATTAGGGCCTGAGCTTACCGCGGAAGAAAAGAAAGCGAAGAAAACGAAAGAGAATCGTGGTCTATTATTTGTTTCTTATCAAAGCCAAATCGAAAGTGGATTCCAATTTGTTCAGAAGGTAACTAACCGTTCACTTAAGTCGCTCTTTGAATCTTGATTTTTTTTTTTGAAAAGGACTGACATCAGATGAAACTTCTGACTCTTTGTTGCCTCAATCGATTTTTTCGATCATCACAGCTTTGGTGCAACAACACCGATTTTCCGGCTAAAACTCCGGCTAAAGTGACTCCCGGGTTCGATTTGTTAATCGGACAAACCGCTGATGAAAAGCCTCGAGTAGCTCAAAATATCAACCCATTGGTGAGGACGATATCATAGTTCAATGGCTCAATGGAGGTCTGACAAATCGAGCCCTGTTTTGTGCATGTTTCGTTTGACAGGGAATTGCGGGCACTACCGATCCCAACAACATAGTGACCGCCCCGGCACATTTCATCGTTCCCCTTGGGTGAGTATCGGCTGCATTCTCAGAGAGTAGGAAATGAGACTAAACCTAAACATGACCTTTTACGTTACGTTATCCCATCTTTTGTACCCCAGTGGAGAATATTTCCTTATGCCTTCCATCAAAGCCATCAACGAAAAGCTTGGCCTTTCGTCAAGATCTGACCTATGAAAAGCTTGGCCTTTCGTCAAGATCTGACCTATAAATCGTTCCTCGTTTTTCTCAGTCGAACAGAAAAGCGTATGTAGTTGAAGAGATTATGAAATGACTTGGCAAAAAATTGTTTGAAAGAAAGCTTCAAATTAGCAATATCAAATAGCTGTATATGTTACCTGTATTTCTTTAACCGCAACAATACTATCTTTTTTGTGGTCTGTTTGCATGTTATAAGTTTGAAAGGCTTGTTTTTCCCCCTTTGATGCGCTCTGATCCATAGTTAACAGTAAAATACACAAATGAAAGCATTTATTGATGGCACAAACCACATGTAGGTTGATTTTCTATGTTGGTTGCAACAACAGCAGCCCCTGATTCACCATGAATTTTTATTGTGTGCTGACACTAGTGATCAAAAAACAAATAGATTTATGAGCAAGAAGTGGATGCTACTGGTATGTGTTCTGTGTTGGTTGCACCAACTGGCAACAGCAGCCTCTGATTTTTCACATGCATGTTGACCATGTGTTTTTCAAGCCTTTTCTTCAGAATGAAGTCTGTTCCTATCCCACAGGTGTGTTCTGAAGAAGTAGGAAGGGTCCAGAACCCAGCTGTGGGATAGGCACAGTCTTCATTTTGAAGAAAAGGCTTGAAAAACACATGGTCAACATGCATGTGAAAAATCAGAGGGATGCTGTTGGCGCAACTGTACCAATTTATAGTATACTGTTTGATTCCTAAAGACAAAAGACCAGAACTAGAATTGAAACAAAAGGATTAGACAAGAGACAATCAAAGAAACAAGGAGAATGAGAAAAATGATAAATGATAGACCAACCCTGAAGTAGATAAATTTTTAATGCAAAACATACAACTGAATAGAATGATACAAGAGACTTGTAGAGAGAAACTGAGAAACACAATGTCAGACTCGTGTTGATGAAAATACAAAGAAACAAGAGTAGAAAAATAAACAAAGCCTATGGATATGGGAAGAATTTAGTAAGTGTTAGATATCAAAAGAAGAACAAAGATCTAAGAAAAGATAGACCAGTATTTAAACAAAAAAGAAGTGATTAGCATTAGTGCAAAGAGATTGAGGTGAGAAGAAACAAATAAGAAATGCTGAGAGTGCATTTCTCACCAAGTTGGAGCTAGAAAGGCTGTCCAAGTTGAAGCTTCACCAAGACTTGATGGTGGTTGAGAAAGGTGGGCCAAGTTTGTTTTGGATCTTGATGAGTTGAGTGTTTTTGGAAGAGAGAGGAAAGGTGAGAATTTATCCGCAAAAATGAGAGCGTCTTGGGGGTGCTGTAGGAGAGCCGGGATTGACAAGAGTAAGAAGGAGGGAGAGCAATCTTCTTTCTAGATTAGGTTATGTTTTTTTTTTTTTTTTTTTTTTTTTTTTTTTTTGAGTGCAGTTTGTTTTGACATTGCGCACTATAGGTTATGTTTGGTGAGACACAGTGTTGTTTCACAGACATATCATGACTGATGATTCCGCGTGAACTGTTGATGCATGCAGGCCAGTTCATTTTGAGCTTCAGTCTCAACAGAAACCAACATAGAACACATACCAGTAGCATCCTTTTCTTTTCTTGCTCATGAAACTATTTGTTTTTCTTGCTTGGGCCCAGAAACTCTGTGAACAAAAAAAGAAACTTCAAAATAATCCTGTGCATTGTGCTTGACAACAACATTGTTTTCCAGATTTACATATAATCATCTCAGATCTTATATACTTACAGATCAATGATATTCTACAGGACAGCTACCAAGTGAAATACTCTCCTTTAGTTACCTCAAAATTCTTCAAATAGTCTACAAAGAAAAAAACCTATCCATTTATCCTACAAATAGTAGTTGTTATATGATTCTGTTCAATTCATTGTACTATGCACACTTGACCTACACCAATTAGCTTTCAGTTCATCAGTAAAAAAATTGCAATCAAAAAATGAAGGTGTGCTATCTGTCAGAATAGTCCCCTAGGGGATGAGACCGCAACCAAGTGTTGCAGGAAGTCTACATACAGCCAAACAAAACAACGTAAGCCATGAGACTCTACAGCCAGAATATCCAAGAGATGAAACTTACCTCAGCCATACTGTTTCAGATCCAAGAAATGATACCCGCAACCAAAGGACTTGGGAACGAAGCCATCCCAGCCAAGTCACCAAGGGCGCCGGGGATCAAGCAACACATGGAAGGAACCACGAGGAGAAATTGTGAGTATTTAACCAGCCCTTTCATCAGGCAGATCAGACAGCAGAACTAATCATTTGTCTCCGCCCTCAGATCAATAGCACACAGAATAAGCAATCCACCTGGAACACAACTACTCACCCGTATAGAATCAGACAGAAACGAGTAAGTTGGATTCAGCCAACACTGGGAGGTTACGTTTTCAGTAACGAAAAATAACGATAATGTAACTTAAAATTTTCCGTTTTTGTTGAAGTTTCTTGTAACGGTTTTCCGTTGCGTTACTAAGTTTTTTTTGTTTTTTATTTTCCCTCATGCTACGTTATTCAGTGAGATTTTTTTTCTATTCATGGAAAAGTTATGTTATCAAATATTTTCATAGATAACTAAGGAGATAACGGTAGAGACAGTGTAATATTGATTTCAGGGCTTCACAAGTGAATGCCTATAGATGCTGGCATTATCAGATATAAAAAATCATTTTATTTTTGGGACAACAAGCTCGGAAATCACCTTTCCAGCAGTATCAAATGCTCCCGTGAGAGGAACCCCCTCACGTAGCCACATCAAGCTGCTCACACTCTGTGACATTGTTTTAGGAAGCATGCTACCGCGGCTGTTGTTGCAAACATCAGAAGCTGCTGAGAAGAGTCGCTCCACAGAGCAAGAACTTGCTGAGGTGGCCAGGTAGCTTCGTGCCAAGGTTGCAACATTTGGATAAAGGTGGCAGTGTTTCTAGTATAGATGGCATTTTACTATTAGTTCTGGCACTAGAAGGTTCAGCAAGGAAGATTCACATACCTTCCACCATCGCAGAGCAAATCCATGATGTGTAATGTCCTCGGGCTTAAACATCAGATTGGCAGATAGATACAACTGAAGTTCATGTTCTTGGGCTGATGGAGTCTTTTTGTTGAGTGATGCCAGGCGTGCCATTAGTCCTTTCGGGTCGGTGCTGCCGCTGGTGGAGTCTTTTGGATTGGTGCTAGTTGTTGGTTTTTTTTGGAGGCTAGTAGCTTGTGTTGAAACCGTTTCCTTGATGCAAGTAAACTCTCCTTGAATCAATTTGTTACACCGATCCACTTCAATGCTATCTTGACCATAAACAAGAGTAAAAAGAGAAATTCTGTAGCAAGGATGGAGAATTGTGGCAAGAACAAGTGAATCACAAGCCATCGCTTCTTCAAGATACTTTTCGACCCGTTTCGACATTGCACAATACATTGGATAAAGTGCATCACTCTCCGCGGCCGCATTTGTTTTCTCTTCAAGGTCCTCCTTCAGCTCTAAGTACTTGGGGATAACATGCGCACCAGATGGATGATCACCCTCCATGTCTTCAGTGAGCTTCACAAAAACCTAAGAAGATTTAAGGTCAGAAATCACATGTCTTAAATCATGAGGGTGGGTGAAATTACCTCGAGCTCAGAGTTAAGTTCCTCAATATCTTGCCAGTCAACAGGGGAAAAAGAAACATCATTGAAGATGCCAATGTTAGGATCGGTGGCTGAGTTGTTCTTGTTCCTTGATTTTCGTCGGGATTTCTCGACACTCTCTTGATCATCCTTCAAGATTTTGTCAATGACCTAAAAAATTATCAAATTAATATTGAATATAAAAATTCAAACCACATTAAATTTGGAACTGACCTCTCGAGCTAATATAGCCCTCTTATGACTCTCATACTTGATGTTCCATCGTATGCCATAGCCAGCAATCAATGGTGAACATCTAATTCCAAGTGCATCAGCAGTTTGTTGGAAGAGACCCCGTGTAGCTGAGGATCGAGTAATTTGCCTGATGACAGTGTCAAGCTAAGAGTTACAAATCAAAGTGTGACCACAAAAAGTAAACAAAATCAAATTGTGATCAAAAACGTAAACAAAATTAATGTGAAGAATTATAACATACCTGAAGAGTTAAATCGCGCAGCTTTGCAGATCTGGAATGTTTATCTTTGGCCATCTGACCTTCACCAGACCTTTGACCATTTCTAGGCTCAGCATCTGGATCGTCATCCGATTCGGTCCCTTCACTAGATTCTTCATCATCGGCGTTACCATAATTGCTTTCTTGTTTGTCTTTGATTTCATCAGGATTTTCTTCAGGTTGGCTGGCAACAGTGATCTCCTGCACATCACTTCCTGGATCATGGTTTTTGTCTTCTTCAGGCAATTCGGCCAACTTTCCCAGAACTGGAAACAACCCAACACTGAATGTTTGGTTTTACCGGGAGGCAACGTCTTGAGAGCCAAAGCCTGTAGGCCTGCATTCACGATTAAAGCAAGCTTATGGCAAAAGCACCGTATGTGCATCGATTCCGGATCCCAACTGGATGTCAAATTTCCAGATGATTCAAATATCTCGTACATTTTCTTGGCCATGGTATTGTTGTTCGATCCAGAATCTGTAGTTTGGGCTAGCATGTAAATGAGGATATGTAAGTTAGTACCAATTGGCCATAACCATAAGATAAATCAATAACTCATCTTTTGGTGTAGATTGTTTTTTGTGAGGAGTTTGGCAATTGGTCGTGCCAAGAGCTCTCCCCTGTGCTTCCAGGGAATCATTTTGAGTGACATGTGCCTCACGATAAACTCCCAATTGGAGTTGATGAAGGTGACTGCCGCACCAATGAAGGCAAATCGATTTCCTTTAGTCGTCCAAACGTCATGGATGAGCGTAAAAGTGGTGTCAAGATTCTTGGTAATAGATATTAAATGAAATTCATCAGTATGGAATAAGAAAAAGAGTGGAATGATATAACAGAGGAATTTATACTTTTAAAGAATCAAACACTTGTTTTCGAAGGCCAACATATAATTGTTTGGCCTCATCAGCAGCCCATTTTCGAGAATATAAACGGGCATCCTTATTTGCATAGAGAAAGGCGGCTCGTAGGTAGGGATCTTCAATGCGGGACCAAGGGAGTGCTTGCCGTACTTGCCATGCAACTATGATCTGGTTCAGGACTCGTCGTTCAAACTTCTTGGCCGATAAGAACCCATTGAGTGTGGTCTGTTTTGACTTTTCGATTTCTTTTGCCTTTCTAGCCTGCTGCTCTGCAACACTTTTGGGTAATCGGTGGCCTTCTTTTTTTGCCTTCGCTCGCTGCTTGCATCCTTTGTTGTTTTTACAAAGTTGAGCCGATCCATCGCGATGAGATTTTAAGTTTGCCCGGGAGGTTCCATGGATTCGATAGGTGATGTGACACCATTTGCACTTGTAATTCAACAACGTTCCAGGGACATCCTGTTTGATAGGAAATGAATCAGTCAATAGAAAGCTGGGTCAAAGTTAAACAAAGAGAAAAATATTTACTGACCCCTTCTTTCCAGAATGGAGGTTCAAAAAAGTCATCAACAAATGAGTAGTTGTCCTCTTCATCATCTGATTTTTCTGCATTTGTGTGACCTCGGACTCGAGCTTTGGAATTGATTGCGTGTATTTTAACCTCTGAATCCTGGTCGTAGTCATAGTCGTCTTTGGCCTAAGATATTATTGTGTCAAACATATATATCTTATCAGCACATGATCTTATTTGAACGGTAGAGAAGATAACCTTACTTGTGATGCTAGGCTGTTGGTAGTTTGGGTAACTTTACTCAACAGAATTGCTGATCCAGGAGGCTGAGAATTGCCTTGGGTTGAATCTCTTGATGGAAGGTATGTTGGTCGCTTTGGCACCTTGGCTGGCCTTTTTGATGTTTTCTTTTGTTCAATTTGTGTATTTTTCCTTTGTTTGTTGATTGGTTGTCATTTGTTCTGATCGTTTAGCGTTCCCTGGGAGCTGGTCACTACTGAGTCTTGAGGAGAAGCCGTAACTTGTCTGCGACGCTTGTTGGCACTGGCATTTGGAGCGCCTACCAAACTACGTCGGGAATCTGCTGGGGTGGATATAAGGGTTCGTGACTGAACTGGGGTGGTCACACGGCTTGAACGATGAGGTCCATTCTGACTTTGATTGGTGGCATAACCAGAGGCATCTTCATTGGGAGCAGAAGCGGTTGATTGGGGATCAGTACGCATCTTAAATAAATAGCTAGTTGATGGGTGGTGAATTTAAGTCGGGTTATGTGTTGAGTGTTGAGTTGATTTAAGATAACGATCTTTGGATGAGATAAGATGCTTCAGTACAGAATGAAGGCCAAAAGAAGTGGAATTTTTGTTTGGTTAGGACAACTCCCTCTGCATTGGAATTTGGATTTGAACCGACAACTTGCCAGGGGGTTCTTTGAAAATTGTTTCAGGCTAACCCAGGCCCTGCTTCAATTGAGGCTGGTTACTCTTCAGCTTGACATTCAACTTGAAACCACTGGGCAAATGCACATGGATTGGCACGAAAAAAAAAATTCAGACCATAAGGGATGTCCAGTCTGATTCACTTTTGTGATGAAATATTTTCAAATAATGAATAAGAATCACATCAGTTCACCTTCTTGCAATTTCTGCTCCATTCATACATCACCTCTTGTGCATTTGGTTTTAACTTATCAAATGTGTTTGGAAATTTCTCAGCAGTGATGTATTTGATGTTCTTTTTATGAATGTATTAAAAATAGAACCAATGATACTTTGATATAAATTAAACTTGAAGCACTTAGACCCATTTCAAATAAATGTCTGATGTCTCTCCAAGAAGCTAGAGATCCTGACTGAAGCTGATACATGATTATAATGTATTATAATTTGAAACTCAGGCACAAACACTTTCTTTTGATCTGTTTGATGACTTTGGGAAATGATCCCTGCATTCAACAAATTTATGGATTAACCACAAGCAAAAAGATGTGGCTTATGAGTTATAGTAGCAGGAGCATTTGAGAACATGAAAAGCAATGAGTTGAAGTTGAGACCATTCCAAAGAGATACTAGGTCTGAGTCTGAGTTGCATTATTATAAACCAAAAAATTAATATTGTCTGATTTATGTGGAAAGGTTTTGCATGTAACATATTGATAAACTTATTTCCCAAATAACACAGACCAGAAACAAATTTCCACCAGTTATTGACTCATGTTGATAAATATAATTGAACAAAGTTGGCTCAGATCAGGATGAAAGCTCAACCATTCATTGGAGAACTTCCCATTGATTTGAAAACCTTTATCAAAAATTGTAAAGTTCTAATTTTTTCAATACAATTTAGAAATAATCTGATTGCAAAATGATTCAAAAAAATTATTGAAATCTATACCTGTTCCTCAAAGATTCTATATCAAAGCTATGGAAATTTAAATATATACCACCATGATTTTGAATGGTTTTTACTTCAATTTCAATTCATTCTCAAGAGATTTATTACCAGTTTGACTTGATGATTATCCTTATATTCACCACTATTCATTTAAATTCTTAGTGGTATGGTATCCTTTTATCAGTGCAATGAGATACCCCAAAAAAACTGAGAAAATGTTAAATTTGAAGTAAAGATTCAAAAAGATTCTATCCAATCCAGCGACTAGGACTTCCGAAAGATCAATTCTTCATTTTGGGAATACATGGAACCGCTGAAATAAACAATAAAATGTTCCATATGCATAATGCATACCTCATGTGCATGCATTTTCCCATTTTCATTCATGAAATTGACTCACAACCACATGACACATCAGACTTCGTTCCTGGATTTCACTTCGACAGAAGCAACTCACAATCTACAAACCATCCGACTTAGTTCCCAATTTTCACCAACACTGGGTGAGTCATACAATCACTATTCTTTCTCATCCGATAATTTCAGATTTGCAATCTCTTGCTTTTTGCTGCTTGCATTGAATCCACCGCTCACATCCCTTCAATTGAGTATGATCAAAGAACTTGGTCGTGCCTTTTGGAGGTAAATCAATGGGCCATCATGTGGAGGAAAATGTGATGTAGCTCAAGACAGCCATCCCTTCTATTCTTGAAATACTCTTTTCAACTTTCATTCGTGACTTGTCCTATATTCATGCTAATCGTATCCTCTTGCTTTTATCAACAGGCTTTCTCATGAATATTTGACCAGAGCTCTACCCTACTATCAACTGCTACACAGTAAGTTTATTTTTGGTCTCAATCATTTTCCGAAGTAAAGCCCCAACCAAATGAAAAGCCAGACCCAAACGGCTTGGAAAGCGAGATCAATTTTTTTCATCAGGGAGTTGTCTTATCTGATATCCACTTTGGTTCGACTAACGATCAAGTTTTTCTTGAATCACATCCAATATTCAACTTGGTTGTAAAAATCTATCAGTAAGTCTTTTTCTTGATGGACTCCTGATCGCGATTGAAAATTGCAATAAAGATACTGATTGTTGCAATTATACATTGATAGAACCGGCTATCTTATTATCAATCAATCTTGATTAAACATATCGGCTATCAGTTATCTTTGATCGTTCAACTTGGATTGAAGTTCTCTCTTCTTTAACCTGGTTTGTTATTGATCGAATCTGGTTACAGATCCTATAAAGCAACTGATTGTTACCTTTTTGAACTTGGATTTGGCTGATGCTTACAACCGATCAAATTTCATCAGGGTTAGCTGCTACTCTCAGCTGATTGAATTTCACCAAGGCTGGTTGATACTCTCAACCGATTGAATCAAATCAAGGTGAGTTGAGCCTCTTAGCTAAGTGAATTCTGTCAAGGTTGGCTGATACTTTAAGCGGATTGAACTACATCAAAAAATAGATCAATATCAGTTATTTTCAATCGTTCAACTTGGATTGAAATTCTCTCTTGTTTAACCTGGTTTGTTTTTGATCGCATCTGGTTACAGATCCTATAAAGCAACTGATTTTTACAGTTATACATTGACAGAACTGGATATCTCATTGTTGATCAATTTTGATTAAACCGATAGGCTATCAGTCATTTTAAATTGTTTGACTTGGATTGAAGTTCTATCCTCTTTTACCTGGTTTGTTTGTGATTGCATTTGGTTACAGATCTACTAATAAACTTTTTGAACTTGGATTTAGCTGATGCTTCCAACCGATCAAATTTCATCAAGGTTATCTGCTACTCTCAGCTGATTGAATTTCACCAAGGCTAGCTGATACTCTCAACCGATTGAATCACACCAAGGTGAGTTGAGCCTCTTAGCCAAGTGATTTCCATCAAGGTTAGCTGATACTTTAAGTGAATTGAACTCCATCAAGAAACAGATCAAGAAGACTCAATCACTCCAAATCGTTCCAAATTAAATTTGACTTACTGTTGCTGTGTTAGTTAAAAACTTCAATTATTTATCATCGATTCCAAGATGACTAACTTGTCTGCTTTGGGCTTGGTTTGATTGTTTGATAGAACTGAATTTTCAATTTCAACTTTCTTGAATATATCAATTCTATTAAGCCAAATCATCAAATTAGTATGTTCAATTTTTGAAAATCCAACATGTTTTCTTTTCTTAAAACTGATTGAATTCTGACTGCTATTGGCTTTAATTATCTCAACAAGCCAGCATGTCAAGCAACAGAAAAGAATATCTTAAGCAACGAAAACGAGACAATCGTAACGAACGGCGATCAAACGATAGAACCTCCGAATTAAGGTTATCTGGCCATGATCCTGATCCCTTGTTACCCCCCCCCCGAGCGCATTGTATGGTCAATACAAAAATACAAACCATGCGAACTCTTCCCCCATCAAATCTTGGAGGGTGACCGAAAACCAACACCTGCCGAGCTTGAACATGCACAATCAATTGCAAAAACGTTTTTCTACTTTGGACATGGAAAGGTAGTTGTTCTAGATGAGGATAACAAAAACGAAATAATTGTGATCATTGAGTTCACTCCACTTGAAGAACTATCACCTCAACAAACCAGGGACCTGAACATTGTGACCACCTTCCTTCACAAATGCAAAAGATTTGTCAACTCGATCTCGTCCGCGCCACGCTGCTGGGGTGGGAAGATGTGGGCGTTTGGGTGGCGAAAGTGTATGGACGCGTTTAAGCTTGCTGGACTCTATCTTAAAAGCGCCAAGATTCAAGCTGCCAAGGCCGACTACGATTCCCACATGCGGTCTTCACCCCGGCCTTCGAAGATTCTAGGAAAGATGTTCAAAAATCTTGCAAATGTCGCTTTTGAACAAAACCGTGATCTCATGAAGGCAAACTCTATTCCTGCCTTTGCATCCTTACATCATCAAGACCCACTTGGCGAGTTCGACTGCTCACCAAATTTAACCTTCACCACGGGCGGTTTTTATAATCCACCACACAAAGACGATGAAGATCTGCAAGATTTTGCATTTGCTCTATTCCTTCCAACCAAAACGGCTGACGGTACTCTTGTTAAGCCATCTGACAATTACAATATCACAGGTGGTGCATTTGTTTTTCCGGATTATGGTTTTGGGATCAATTTCTCTGAACAAAAAGGTATCGTGAAGCTTGTTTGGGCTTCAAGAAGAGTAAGGCATTGCACTCTTCCAGCTGTTGAATCTTCCTCTCATACACGTATGGCTTTGTCACTTCAAGTTAACAAAAAAACAGCCAACACCTTTAGAGACATTGAAAATGGTGATATCTTTAAGAGACCAAAAAATATAAATAAAAAGAAAGAAGATTTGTATGTAGCTGGTCACAATTATTGTTTGAATCCCACCTCTTATGCCCGCTCTTAGTTTTTAATTAGTATCAGCTTTGATTGAAGATTTTTCACAGTTATCCCGTTATTCAAGATTTTTTTTTAATTGAAAGTTACGTTACAGCTTGGTGCAAAAAAAAACAAAAAAACCAAGTTACATTTCTTGAGACCACAATTTCCAAAAGTTAAAAGTAACTTTAACAAGAAAAAATATAACGGAAAAAGTTACGTTATGGAAATCAGCCCAGATATCGTAACGTATGTAACTTCCCAGTGTTGATTCAGCATATGTGCGCCGATCAGCAGATTGGTCATTAGCTAACCTGATTAATCGGATCTTAGAACACAATCTGAACCAGGCGACCATATCTGGCATCAATAGGATAAGGACAAGCTATCCGAAGACAGGCACATAAAGTGAATAAAAAACTCCTTCACCATGTGGAACAAGACAAGCAGATACTAACTCCCTGCTTGCATCGAACTGTCAAACAGCCGTCACCTTAGAGATTGTTTGTTTGGACCTGTTGGGGGGTACCTGCCACACTTCAGATCAAGCCCTCCACATCAACAGCCACCATAAATACAAGTGGGGGGGTCCAGTACTAAACCTTCATCATTACCAAACCCTCTGGAAGCATCAGTGGTGTCTGAGGGTGTGGAGGGAGTGTTTTGAAGTGTGGCAGGTACCCCCCAACAGGTCCAAACAAACAATCTCTACGTCACCTTCTACCCTTCTTCTCATTCATCTCACATCTCACTCTTAACTCAGCTATCACCCACATCCCAAACCACACTGCATCGGCAATTCCGATCAGCAAAAAGCAAATCCAAGAAGCAAGTCGATTGATTCTGCTCTTAGGTAAAATTCTTTCATTTCTTGTCTTTAGTTGATCGCACAATTTGTGCATAGCAATAGCAAGATAAAACAAGAAGTCTAATGGAAATAAATCACTCTTAGTTGTTTAAAATCTTACACTATCAGCAGCCGGGAGGAATCCTCCCGACCATTGGGGGCTCTTTTTGGTTTGCCGACCCCCAAAACCCAGTGGGTCTTGAGGCATTGACCCCCAACACCTCTAGGGGTATGTCTTTTTTTATTTAAATATTTTTGAGTGGGAGTCAAATCTCCAATTGATGGGAGTCAATTAGCCAAGCCCCAACATTTTTTTGGTTTAATTTATTTTCACTCTTTTCATGTGATTTACTTTATTTCTGTCTATTCAAATTTCACTAAAAAAACAGGTTGGTCATTGCTTGGATAAGAGCATCTTTACCGTTTGAGCTAAAAGCAAGTGATTTAAGCTTGCAGCTATCACTAAGCTACAATAGCCACATTGATTCAGTTGCACTGGTTTGCTTGAGGTTAAAGTTGTGATGGATGGTTTGAAGTCGCCACTGTCAAAGGGGTTGTATTGGTTACAACCCCCTGCGGTAAGCTGGTCAGTCAGAAGCGGCCGATAAAAGATTGGTCTCCTTGACCAATTTTATATTGGCCAGGCCCACTGATACATTTTTCCTTTGTTCTAATGTATCAGTGAGCCCAACTGATAAAAAATTGGTCAATGAGACTGATCTTATATAGGTTGCCTCCGGACCACCTTATCGTGGCTTGTAACTGATACAACTCCTTTTGAAGTGAGTCTAACCTTGTTAAAATTGGACTTTGCTGATGCATTGGAGGACTTCCCGTCAACATCTGCGGGTCTCCCAGTGTCAGTTTAGAGCCGCGAAATTCAAATTTCTCTGTGAGAATTAAGAGTTTTCGGGTCTAGATCCACTTCTGCAAGGGTCCCAGATCCAAAGGGAAGTCCTCCATTGGTGAGCAGCTCCCCTTGAGAAGCAAGATCCCACAATAAAATTTAACCAAGATTATGCATCAGCAAGCAAAACCTGCTTCACATCAGCAACTGTTTTGGTAGAACGTGAACCCCCTTATTGACTCTAAGTGGGTGGATTGAGTTTCCAGAGTCCAAAAAAATGTGGTGGAATCTGCTGTGTAGCCACAAATTTGATCTAACTTAAGGGAAGAGGAAGGCTTTTTTGCTTGGAAGGGTTGGCAGTCAAACTTTTCGCTACAACCTCAGTCAAAATCCCTTCTGGATTGCCACTCCTGGGCTTCATGTATCACTGCCACACATTTGAGTCAGCTCGATGCTCATAAAAATTGATGAATCAGACTTCGTTCCACATAAAACTTTCATCGACAACCCTTTGTGTATTCAAAGGGTTTGGACCTTTAAAAAGCGAAATAAATTATCAGAAGTATTACGAACATCAGCAGTGGCTAACTTAACTAAGTCCCTCCCAGTGGAGGGGGGACGCCGTCCCGCAGGGACCCTCCGAAGGAGGGACTTATGCGCAAGGCCGACCTGCCTGCTCGAGAGCATTAGGAAAATCAGCGTTTTTTTTTTATTCACTTTGCTGGGTTCATCGTTTAACATCGGTGGATGAAGTTGCCCACCAAACGGAGGGGCCTTTCCAGGAGATTCGATCTCTTGACTGAATGAGCTGGTGGGGTGACCCATTGCTGGCCCACTGAGCTTTTCATGATTGCTTTGCTCAGAGGTCTTTGGGAGGTGTCTCCTGTAGTAGGTGCCTCATCCGATGTACGAGAGCTTCCACATGAATACTGTGGCTGGCCATCAATAGTAAATGGAGCATGAAACCACATATTATTGTGAATTCATCTCACTAGTGTCGAAGATCCTAGAAACTCAGGAACATACCGGAAGATACAAAGGCCATCTTCCATGACCCCAAGAGACATGAAAAGAGTGATTGGCTATCATGCTGATGAGCTGGCAACACCGGGAGGGTCTAGAAAGATAGAGACCAGCGAGGCGATCAAGAAAATCAAAAAATTTGGAAAATTCAATCATACAAAATGGAGTAGGGATGATTACGAGATTTTCCCCGCCAAATTTTCTAATGCTTTCAGGCCGCGGGGTCGCCTTTCCACGTAAGTCCCTCCCTCCGGTCGGCGCAATGCGACAAGTGGTTTACCACTCCGACAAAGGAGGGCAGGGACTTAGCTAAGTTAGCAGCAGTGGATGTCAAGCTATGTCAAGTTTCAACCGATGCAAATGTGTAGCGAGCGGGAAGATAAGACAGGAAGGCCGCCTGTCGCAGATCGGAAAGCGAAGCAAACAACGCGCGAAAATCAGAAACCCTGTTTCTGGACTGAGCACAGAACATTGAATACCTTATCTTCTACAGTAGTTCCTCTTTTGAGTAAAAGCCAGTGGAAGGCGGATGGATACTCTTGCGAAGGATCACTGAGTCGCTGTAAGCGTTGTTTAGCCGAACTCGCGAAATGCCGCTAATGAAGAGGTTCTGACTTCTAGCAGTCTCATCGCAAAAGGCAGCTTGCTCAATGGCTCAACAGCAAACCTGGTCTTCCGATAGGAGAGACATTTTCTACCTTTCTTCCGAAGTCTCTGAGCGCTCACTCTAGTTGGGCCGAGTTGAGCTCCAATGCGCGTTTAGCACTTGAGCTCAGCGAAGCGCTTTTCCAGGATGGGCTAGCTTCCTTTGTAGCAAGGAATCAAAGGTTCGTTCTTCCTAGGCTTTACAGCTCACGGAAGCACGAACCTGCTTCCCTCAAACGGGTATTTGTTGAGAGCCCCAAGTAGCTTCTTCTTCCCTTAACCATCGGTTCCAGAACAGCTTACCCCACAAACCCAACCAAGGCTTTAATTCACTCCAGGTCTTGTATCCGAACTTAAACACCTCTTATCCCTGGGTCTACCGTCTTGTGCTTGAAGCACGCATCAAAACAGACTCAGAACACAACTACATAATCAGCTTGCAGCGAGACACGGCTCTACCACCTCCATTTTTTCTTAATCGCCTTTTCAAGCTGGAAGGACTTCATCAAACAACCATCAACCGAGGGCCTCACTTTCAAGGGTTCAGAAGATTGAGGAAATTGTTCACCAATAACTTATATTTTTGCAGCCATTCACACTGAAGATGCGCGACGATTTTGATACCAAGTGGTCCACAGTTCTAGCCAAGGTGCCCAAGGGGAAGAATCCTTTTGATTTCGTACAAAAAAACATGGTTGGTGAACTGTTACACTTTGACTTAATTGTATTCAGAAATTAAGCCATCCCTTTTTAACTTTTTCGGTCTTCCATTGTAGAGCCTCCGCACCCATAACCGACATAATGAAGGCACATTTTTAGTCCTGATCATCTTGACAGTTTTGACCCTTATAAATATTTTGGTCTTGCTATTTTGTTTCTTGTGGGTCCTCTTTAACGGCCGCGAAGGGCGCTCAAGACATCTATGGTTCATTCGATATGTCAGAACCAAAGGTCAGAAACCCCTGCCCGATCCGCCTGAAATGATACCCCGAATTGACATTTGCACGCTTCAGATAAGAAATTTGTTATCGCGCCCAACAGTAGTCTCTTTGTGATAATCTTTCAATCTGCCTCTGGTGCTGCAACGTTGGCGTACATGTCCTTTGTTTTTAAAAACTTCAAAAATCCTCAAGAGCTCAACCTCTCCTCGTCTTCTGTTTGGTAAGTGGAATTACTCAGTTTAAATTGAAAACTCATCAAGTAAAATAGAATACAGAAGAACTAATTGATACACTTCTTCTACCGCATATAAAGGTTTAATATTGCATTTCTTTTATTCTACATTGGGCTCTGGACTTCTGGATGGGGCTACTGGTCTGCTTCGTGAGTTCCTCTTGAAAAACTCTGCAGGTATTCCAGCGCCTGTTCACTCAATTCATTGTCGGACGTAGTCTGTCACGCCAGCCAAAGGACGTACTACTTTCAGATCGCATCTTATCATCGAGAGTGTCTGCCATATGCTGGGCCATTTGGTGCTTACTGGCGGGCGGGTTGTATATATTCACCTCGTGTATGATGCAAGCTTCCTTGCACAAATCTCATGGGAGTGAATTTAAGTTCAGAGCTCAGTTGCAGAAATCTGCTCGCGTGTGGGCCAAAAGTCCAAAAGCCGTGAACCCTTCCGATCTGGCTTCACTCTTCAATCACTGGCGGGATACTCAGCATACATTCGAGCTGTGGCGTACTTTTACCGGAACCTTACAAGGAATCATGAGCTTTCTTCTCTGCGTGGTGCGTTATTTAGAGGGTGCTAAGGTCTCTGTTGATGAAAAATCGCACAAGCTGATCACATGTGGCACGCTTGTTATACCTTCTGACACGACCAGTGGTACTTCGTTGCGGCAGCCGCGCTTAAGAGAATCGAAACTCGGGAAAACGGAGACACCATCAAATCTCACATCCCACTGGCCTTTGAAAAACCCGTCGGTCCTTCAAAACCCAAGTGGCTGAGGAGCTTTAAGATCAGTGAGCCAGAGACAGCTTTCGACTGTAGTGATTCGAGGATGTGAGCTGAACTTCAGTAATTTTGCAAAACAAATATTTAGGCAAGATCAAACTGCTTGTTCTCTACTGTTACGCAATGGTCATTTGTACCCTAGCGTACTCGCTTAGCCTACTGGTTTGCTATCATCTTCCACATCGATTACAATGGTGAGTCATGGGAATTCCTTTTTTTTTTCCTATCGTGATGCAGACTGAGTCATATGGCTGTTTGTGAACAGGGCAATAAGCGCAAATGGCGAGGACGCAGTGCTCAAAATTCTGCCGTTGGTATTTATTTTGCTACTTTCCTCCATTCAAACGGTGCGTATTTCAGGGCAGGAATGGCTACTTCCGTCACAGATGATGGCACTGATTATTCCTCCATTGCTTGCCCGTCATTAGTGGAAGGCTCTTGTGCGAAAGAGGAGAACCTCAAAAGTTGATACGGAACTTTCCGTCCCGCCGCCCCCACAGTGGGCCGCACCCCCAACCGAAGTAAAACTGAAAGCACTGAATACCTTCCATGACATCAACCATAAGTTGCTGTCTCCAGATGATACTCAGGATCACGCTTTGCGGCGTGATTTTCTTCATCTCACCCCTCACATCTCCGTAGACTATTCTAATCCAGACCGTCGTGCACTCGTCGACCTGGACGTTGATCGGGTGAACCCAAAGTCTTGATGAGATACTCGCAAGTGTAAATATGTATACCATTAATTTCGTCGTCGCATTGTTTTGCTGTGCTCACTCCCTAAAGCACTTAGTGTCCATAATTTATTCATACCATTCTCTGCATGACTCAATCCAAACATAATAATGAATCCCTTGTCAAGTTGTCCTCTGAAGATTTCTCCCATTGGACAGGTTTCTCCAAGTGTATAAACTAACACTTGAATTCCCTCTACTAGAAACCAAAACGGCTTTCAGAGCTTATTTGCTCACACGGCAATCATAGAAACAAATCAGGAGGATCCCAAGACATGAAGTTGGAAAATGATAAGGATGAATGGGAAGGAGACTGAAAATGAGGCAGAGGAAGAAAGACATAAGGACTGGAGAAAAAAAGCATGGCATAGTGAGGAAAATAAATTCCAGAACTTGAATTTGTAGGGTCGCAGTTTTGAGAGTATGCACAAGCAATCAAATCAAAGAAATGACAACCCGGCAGAACATTTCCTAATTGTCAAGTCCAGCCCTGTTGATTTCTGTTTCTTTGAAAACAAAAACTCATCCAACAGCCAATTCGAAGTCACTTTGCGAATGTCGAGATTACCTTGGCAAGCCAGACTGCCACTGTCCCAATACAGATTTCATCCCTTCCACTCATGTCTAAACGTGTGCCATTGACACGACTCATATGACTGCCGAAAGTCATGACAGACCATGTCTAAGTGATTGAAATACTTTGACGAAGATTACAAAGATATATATTTATTCATTCGATGATTTGAATTATTTGAATGTTTGGTAGTGGTTTTAGTTGTTTGAATAGCTCCTGCATGGATAAATGTAAACAATTTTGGAGTTGGATCTTGGAAGCAAGACTACAGGTTTCGAGAACAAAACACCCCCTCAAAGCACAACAAACGAAACAAAATCCGACGCCTAATTATCATGGCAGAGTCTAGAAATTAGATGGATAAATAAGGGTTGAGCCTTCTCATCAACTAGTTTTCTGTCTCTTTGATTTCGATCGATGTTTACCGCTGCCACCTTGACTGCCACTGTTATCAGATTGCTTTCGCTTACTATCCTGCCGAAAGAATTCTTTCCTAGTTTCCTTTTCACGTTCAGAACGACCTCCAGCTTCATGCGAACGTTCGATTTTCTTGATCCTTTCGGCGTCTATGGAGAAGGAGGCGAGAAGATCGTTCAGAACTATCCCACTCGAGCACTTGAAACAAAGGAAGACTTACTCTTTTTAGCCTTAGTTTCTTTCCGTTTTTCAATCCTGACTTTAGTGACAGCCTGTGCCTGTTGCAGAGCACCCAAAGTTTTACGCTCTTCAGGCTGTAGAAGCACAGTCCTTTGTTGTAGGTAAGTCGGTTTCGATTGAGGCTTTTGATATTTGGGTTTGGATGCAAAGGGCAAAGAGCTTTGCAATTTTTTGGGGATTTTGAGTGGATTGAATCGCCTTGCCTCCCTTACAATCGGCTGATGAATGATTAAGGATTTTTTGTTAGCAAGGGCCAGATTTGGAGCAATTAGGAAAAGGCTGGGAGATGTGTGACATACTCGGTATTGAGAATTGACATCCACCGGTGTTTTCAACTGTTGATCTCGTCTGACTTCACCCGTCAAACGCATACCTTGCCATCTTGTTTTGTTTGGTAAGAGTAAAGAAGCCACTGGCGTGTAGAACATCCTTGGTTTTACATTGTACCAAGCCCTCAAGAATATTATATCGCTCATCAGAACTTTATCCTCGAACGTCGCTCTGTAAGTACCCTCGGGTTTGGGAAGAGCCTTCTTCACTTGCCCTCTGATTCCAGAAACTGTGCGGATTTGTGCGCCTTCAAACTTGGTTACTTCGAGAGCACTTGTGAACATTCCTTTGACAAAGGCGGTATTCTTAAAGATCTTGTAAGGGACACCAGTCAGCTTCAGTTTTTTCACTATTCGACTGCTACCATCCACGTCCAGGACCACTCCGGTTGCTGAAATCCGAAAGTTGGTAGAGCCGCTACCCATGCGACTGAAAGCGCAGAGGCCAGTGTTAGGGCTGGATACGGGGCCGTAAAAGGTGGCTAAGCAATGGGTGTGCTCAGGTGTATACTTGAGCATTCGATTCCTCGTGCCATCATCAAGTGAGTAGATTGGAACAGTTTGGAAACGGCGCCATCCTACAGAAAGGATCAGTGGATCGTTCGTCTTCAGGACCTTAGGATACCATCGATGTTTCTTCAGTCGTACTTGAACAAACCCAAGACTGTCTTCCCCAGGCAATAGACCACCCAGTAAGAAGGGGAAAGTGGGATCGAAGTTGTTCACCAATTCAGGCGGTACACCGGTTATCTCGATGCGAACATAAGCTCCTGGTCTATATCCTTCAACGGCGATTCGAGTCTGTGGGTCATCATCTTCAAACTCTTTCATCGTCTGCTCCATCCTTCGCGCGATTTCTTCCTTCTGCTCGGTGTAAAAGTCTTTTTTCCCTTCTTCATCGGATGATCCGTCGTACTCTCGATCAAATTGTCGCTTCAGCGCTTCTTTCTTGGCGAGGAGTTCGGTCTTGATATCTTTCGAAGCAGGTGCGGCTTGAGAGGGAGTGCTTCCTGTGACTTTCTCTCCAGTTTCAAGGTCTTCAAAATCACCGCCCTCGCTTTCGTACTGATATGCGACTTCTGCATCCTTGTTCTCAATATCACCGGTGATGAATAGATGCCGGATGGACTGTAGACATTTTTCTTCGCTCCATACCTCTAGCTCGTTAGACTCGGTTGGCCGATAAAATTGGTAAAGATCAGCCCGTCGGCTGCCATCTTCTGCACCTGAGGGGCGACTCGCAAGTTCAAACAATTCATTTTCGTCGGAATCATCCACCTTGGGTAAATCGCGAGGGGCTTCGCCTCTTAGTCGAGAACAAACTTCAGCTGGTTCAAGGCGATTATCATAGATCAATTTCATCGGATCACACCGAGAGTGTTTAGATGCTGCTAGGCGAGTGGCAGTTTGAGCAAGGTTCTGCTTCCATTTCGGGGCTTCTTGATCTTCACCATCGTCGTCTTCTTCCTCATAGTCGTCTTCAAACCGTTCTTCGTCGGATAAGTCAACATCTGATTCGTGCTCAGATCCAGATATACTGCCTTCCGAGCCCAAACCAAGATCAGAGTCGCTGTCAGCATACGCAACATCTTGCTCTCCCGTCTGTGTAGTTTTCCAACTGCCAGCGCGTCTCCGAACCTCTTGGTTTGACCTTGAGGATTCAGCTACGGGATGCGCATCAAGATCATCATCATCAAGACCTTCAAAATCTGAATCATCGCCATCACTTGCATGTGAGCTAGAGTCGCATGAATCAGCAGCATCAGAGCAATCTTCGATAGAACCCAAAGTTTTGAGGGGCTTTTTCGAATCGTCCAAAAGTCGGATCTTGCTAGATTTCACATTGTCGCCAAGACTTGATTTGACTTGCTGTAGGTCAACGACCATTTTTATTCCATCGCCTGCAAGGTCTTCATCTTCACTTTCTTCATCTGAGAATTCTGAGTCTTCTGACTTTTGCTTATTGGAGGAAAAATGATTTGTGGTGTTGACCCATACCGTATCGCCATCGAAAACCACGGCACCACCAGCACCACCACTCATGGGGGCGTGCACAAGTTTGTGCTTCTCGGCGATCTTGCGGCGTTTTTCGCTTTCCGCGGTCGGTAGTGGGCACGGATCATCCAGCCCCGTCATTTTAGTAATACAGAATGAATCGACTCCTGATCCTGGCACATGTACTTTTGGAGTGACATGGTCTGAAGGCGGTCTAAGAGGTATGCCTCGCAAGTAACCCCAGACAGCAACCGTGCGGTCACAAGATGGCGTTAGTCGTACGGTTTCACGTGGCGTAAGGTCCTCGAATCGGTCCGCCAGCATGTAAGGATGGCTATTTCGAAAAATCAGGGGGCGGAATTTGACGACACTGATGAATCTGTGGAAACGGTGTCAGGGATTAAATGGCTGTTAACTAAGTAATTTGGCGAACAAATTCAACAGATGACAGGTGGCAAACCTCGTTAGATTGATAATCTCTCTGTCGGGATACCTCCCATTTCGAACTCCGCTGAGGTAAAACATCTTCGCTCCATCATATACCTCGGTCCAAAATCGATGTTTTAGTCGTTTCTTTTGGTCTTTCAAGGCTGCGGGCGTTTTGATGAGATCCAAATGAGTCAATACGGCCATCAGCTTGGGTAGTCCATGGGAGGATAGGGCAGATAACGCCTCAAATGTTTCCTGATTCAACCAAGTGTACAGTCATATTTCATAAGAATCAACAGCATCAGCTCAACGATTAGCTGATTTGGTTGAGAGGATGTCTATCAGGAGGGAAACAAACCATTTCAAAGCCAAAACTTCCATCAATCATGAGGAGGACCAAGTCTGCAACTTTGGCGAGATCGACCATCGCACCCAGGTCATTAGGACATTCCACAAATGAAAGCCTTCTTGCCTTTCCGGCAACAACTGTTACAGGCCCTTTGATTTCTGGTAGGGTGTTTTTGGTGTATCTTCGGACAAGTGATCGGATCAGGGTGGTCTTTCCTACCTGTAAAAATAGGAAATCATGTCGGCCAAAAACTTCAGTTTTCCTTCTTGTTCCTTCGTCTCTTTTTTAAGCAGGACATAATTACTCACACCGGGTGGGCCCATCACAGCTACAATCACAGGAGGGGGTCCATTGTCCTGGTTGGCGGAATCTGTGGATGACAAGGGTTGCAAAATTCATTTGAGCAAGCACGTCAATTGGAATTGGTGGACGAATAAACAGAGGATTGTTCTCTTGACCTTTGCTAGAGCCCTGGCTTGGCTCTTGTTTAGCTGTTGGTCTGACACCAAAGGTTCGGTCCGGTAGAGGTACATGGAGCTTAGCTTGATCCTTTTCGACGTTCCTTCGGGCCTGTTTCTCCGCTTTTCGTCCTGATTGGGGGGCGAAGGCCTGTGTACCACCAACAACCCAAAGTAAGCAACATGTTTAAACCAAGCCAATTTTGAGAAAATGATAAGTCTAACCTTGGGATTTTTGCCCTTTTCGTGCTTAGTTTTCTCTTTCTTTGGTGGTCGATGTGGTCGATTTGTTTGTTGTTCCATTGTCGGGTGATTGACTCGGCGTGAAGGATGAGTATGATGCTTGTCAGGTGCTCGCTGCTGTTCTTCTTGGTTGTGATGGTTTGTGGTTTTCCAAATTGCATACGCTGTATGCATCTTGCCTATATCGGCGCGGGAAGAGCAAAGCTGCAGTGCTCTGTGCTCTATCAGCTGCGGCACAATGCCTCCTTCTTACGTAATCGTAGTGTCCTCTTTCACCCTGGTCCCTGGCCTTGCCCGATTGGCACCCAACTGAACATCTCTTTGGCTTCACGACCGGAAAAAATGGAACCAGCTCCTCAATCGTCCACCTTCCAACCACTCTCACGGCGAGAAGAAGACGAATTCCAGAAGCGCATCAAGCTGGCGGCTTTGAAGCAATGTGATCCAGTAGTTGCTGGTTAGCCTTGCAAATCTGACTTGAAATTTTGGTGCTCATATCATTCTTGATACAGATTATTCTCCCCGCTTGGTGTTTCTTTCCCGTTCGAAATTCTACCCACAATAGCGTTTGCATCATGTTCGAGCACCCGGACTATCAGTGTGGCATGGGCATGTCGGAAAGAATGGAAGGCGGTCCAGGAGTGCATGCAAATACAGTTCAGTCACCACCCTTTTCGTAATTCATTCATTTATACTGGAAAGGAGCACATGCTCAAAGTTAACTTCTTCTCTTTCTCCCTTTTGAAAAACTAGCATGACTGAAGAAAAACTAGATCTTGCAAGAAGAGAGTATATGACCAAGCGAGAAGAACTTCGAGTACCCTACAAAAAATTGAGCTGAGAATTATCTCATCTCTTGATTGCTTTTTTGATTGAAATTCTAGACCCTGTAATAAATTTGTTGATTATGTAGCAGTAGATCCAAAGGGACCTCAGACTATATTAAACATCATCTCATCCAGGGTTATGAGTGTCATATCACAAAGAAAGGCAGCGAGAACCCTATATCGTTTGATTTCATCAACATGATGAGGTTAAGAACCGAGAAGAGGCGTTGTGCACAGTTCCTACCTTATGGAATTTTCCCAGTTAAAACACGCCCGTAGGAAACAGCTATTTTCCAGTCTGTTCAACCAGCCTGATGCCATAACCTAATGGCAGAGTAATCATTAATACTAGTGGGAAACGATTTTTGTAAGGATACAACTATGCCGGTTTAAGAAACATTCATGTAGGAGAGAATAGATTGGTTATCACTTATGTTGGCACCCCCCCCCCCCAGAGCCAGTAAAAGGGTAAAACGAATAACAGACATTGCCATCATGTATCTTGATATGTATTAAGAAAATGAAATGGGAGAGAAATTTATCAAGAATGCAAGGAGGTTCAAAAAATTAAATGCAAGGTTACGGATAAAATATTGGGACATTCAGAGCAGAATAAAAGGAAAATGTAAGTTGGGGGAGATACGATGCGTAGAAATAGGCATTTTCTTTTCCAAGCGCTAGAAAGAGGATGTATCAATCATCTAGTGTCAACGGGACGAGTTGGTTCACCTGCTAACCCGGTCTGATAGTCATAGATTAGGGCGGCAAATACAACTAAAAAATCATCATGTCTCATGTTCGTCTGCTTATTTATTGGCTCGCTTTTTGAGGGTTGCTGGCGACCACCATCCTTCGTCATGGAGCTGTACTTGCTTCAGTTTTGGAAAAGTAATCCCTCCCTCAAAGAAAGAAACCTCCTGATCATCAGTGGGCTTCTTTGTTGATGGTTGTTCTTTTCCAGCCAAACTGCTTGCACTTTCGGATTTGAAATTGGACGCTACCCTCCAATCTGGAGGGGCTGGAATAACTGATAAAGGCCTAGATGATGCCACGGTACGATCGGGAAAGTGCCTCACCGCGGTCCTCGGAGGAGAGTATGGACTGCGCAAACTGGTTAATCTCGGCATTCCTAGCGATAAAATGAAGAAAAAAAAAGTTAGATCAACACTCTGGTAGCATGGTATTTTTAAAGGTTAGGGAAAGTTTCATGCCGTCGCTTACTATCGTGTTGTTTCGGTGGCACAATAATCTTCAGAGCCCGGAGGTAATCGTTGGGCGCATGACTGCTAACCTCAAAAGAGTGTGGGTGCTGCAAAAGTTTTGTACCCCCTTCTATCGATGATTTAAAAAAAGAAAGACAAGTAATATGAGCATCCACGCGGTCTGATAGTGGAAAGGATATGACACGGCTACTTGGCTACGTACCACTGATTTTTTTGGGTGTTGCAGGTCTGTTTGAGGTCAGCCGGGCTCCTTGTCTCTTGACAGTGCTTGGTGACCGGTATCCGCCTATAAAAAGTCCCTTATTCGGCGGCGGCTGGATTAATGATGGGACTCGTCGATTGTCTCCGTTCGTTATTTTGGGAGGTTGTGAGTCCCGTGTGGACATAGCCCCCAGTGAAAAACACCGAAGCAAACAACTTCCACCTTGATGATTTTTTGACCGAGTCTTGCGATTGGTTAGGTCCAGAGCTTGATATAATTCAGATGCAGATCGTCGTTCATGGGGCCTTGAGGTGTGCATTACGGGCAGGGCTTGTGACAAGCTGGCTCCAATCGAAAGAATTACGAGTACTGAATAGAAGACTCGTTGCTTGAGGCTGACGATAGCGTTTTTCGCAGACATCCTAGCGGTCACACTGAGAATCAAAACACTTTAAAAGTAGTAGGGCAGATCGAAAATGTCTAAAGGGATAAAGCGATTTCTTCCCAGGAATAAATTGCTCTTATACACACATGGCATCTGGGGAGAAGAACGACAGGAATTCGTACATCCGCAGATGATGATATGAAGACGTATCAATGGGCGCGACCCGATACAAAGATCGGCCGCAATACCAAAGTCAGCTAGCTAGCTAGCTCATCCTAGCTCGTCTTGAAATCTGTCCAAGAGAATGTATTCCCCAGGAATACCTGGTCCCTCCAGTCCTTCCGGTTCTCTATGACATCATAACCAGCAGGGCCCGGTACTCCGACTTTACAAAAATAATATGGAGCTGGCCGGCGGCCTTTCGCCAACTTTGCATGAGTGGTAGTAGAGCGTATTAGATACCATATTGGATATCCGCCCGGGCAGCCGAAGTGACTGGTATACATGATATGTTACTGAAACCTGCAGTGCCATACCACAGGCCGTTCCGAGTTTCAACGGGGACCCAATCACTTTGCACCTATTCCTTTCGTCTAGGCATGACATGTAATGGCGCGTCTCCCAGAGCTATTTATTGGAGTACAGGAACTACACATTAAGCTGAATCAACTCCTGAGCGGCCGTGATCAGTTCGGCCGCTACCCCTTCCGACGGGCGGAGCATCCATGAGGAGATTATCATCAACGTTAACTTACTTGTGATGATGAGTGAACATAGGTAATTCGGTGTAACTCTGACGGGGTGAAGGTGTCGCACAGGAGTCGATTTTCAAAGTCTTACACGCAAGTTACTGTGGCATTATTGGTGCGTCGTAGGGAATGTGCCCATTCTGTTCGAACTTCACCCTCGTCTACCGGCAGGTATCTGAGGCCGCAATGGCGAGGCGCGACCTACCGTCGGCAGTCGTACGGCCCGGGACGGGCACAGGTGCCGTCCCGCACTCACTCCTGTTAACGTGCCAGGGCTTCAAAAAGAGCCCTATACATGTGGTCCGGAAAGCCATCGGATAAGAAACCAAATTCATCTATTTTTTTTCTCGGCTTCTGGTTGACCTACTTAAGGTCATAAAGCTGGGCCGTGTATGTCTGGTTTGAAAAAGAAACAGCAGCATTTCACTTCCAGCGCATTGTACCTCCATAGCCAGCTTGAAGCTTGGAGCCTTCTGTTTACGATCCCCTGTTTTGTATGACTTCTCGAAAGAACGAAAAGAGCTGGGCTCACTGGAGTATTTTGGTCGATGTCCTCGTACCATGAATCTACAATCCGCGGAGATGTCAGAACGACTCAAGGACTACATAGGCAGACTCAGACACCGCACACTGACAGGCAAATTTCTTGGGGGAGAAGATCTGAAGATCCTATGGGAAATCCATAGATTCTGGCTGCAAGGGTCAAACTGTAAATCACAAGCGAACAAGATTTTCTGGATTCACTCAAAGACTTCGCACACCGCTGCCTTCCCATCCGATTATTCCGACTGAAGTGGAAAACTATAAGTTACTAAGTCGCAATATTTTCCTCCGCTTCTGCCACAAGCACCAGCATGTTACATCCATTTTGAGAAAAAAAGCCAAGCAAAAGAGCTAAGATAAATATATACCATCTACCAGAATAGAATCAAAAATCCCAAATAATTCAGCCACTACCTATCTCTTTGTCACGTGAAGTTGGTGATCGTCTTCTGGTAAGCAAAAATTCAGTGAGCACAATATTGGCCAAAATTATTCATGGCGTCGGTTTCGTTACGTCCTTCTTCGATTTGGTTGACTTGGAAAGTGAACTGATTCTTATCTACAATCTTCAACAAAACCAGGAAGAAAAGATTCTAGGAGATCCATAGTCGGGCAGAGACCATGATGAATTTGTCCCAGTTTGCGACGAATTCAACCTTGCAAAGATTTCGAAAGAAGCTCGTCGATCTTACGCCCGTAGCTCTTTATCCAATCGTTCGAACACTGACGATCGAGGCTCTCAAGTTGGGACCGATCCCGAAACATATTTCGTTCATCATGGATGGAAATCGAAGATACAGTCGCGAACAGGGTATCTCGATTCAACAAGGTCACTTCAGAGGATTTCTATCCCTCAAAAGAGTTTAGTCTTTATTTTTTCATCCTTTTCCCTATGATTGTTCCTTATATCTGCCTCTACTTGGATCTTGCGTGCTACTTTTGTGACAGTAGTGACAGTAACATCTGGCTTTGATGTTTCAACAGTGTTTGCTTATTTTTGGATTGGCTTTGATTTTCTCTTTAGCTTTTAGAGTTCTTATTACGACTCGGTGTGTCACACATTACAGTTTATGCTTTTGCGATCGACAATTATCGACGAACGGCGGAAGAAATCGAGAAATTGATGGACATGGGGAAGAGTAAAATGCTAGAGATTTGCGAAAGAGGGTAAGTGCAAATATGAGAATTTTGACCAAAAAATGCACTCTGTACCAAATATGGACTCGAGCCACTGAAAAATAAGGATGAGCTGAACGACCGGGATATGATTTCGAACTTAATTTTAGGGAACTTTTTGAGCGATTCGGAATTCGAGTCAGGATGGTTGGTAGAGTGGATCTGCTACCCCCAGACGTGCAAGTCTTAGTTGCCAGAGTGCAAGCTTTAACCGCCAAAAATAATCGGTAAGGCAATTGATTTGGTCTGCAATGTCATTTTAATTCACAGACTGTTGGGGTCCGGAACAAGGAAAGCAAGATCAACCATATGCGCTCTGCACAATGGGTTGGTTTTCGCGTCTCTAATATATGCTGACAGCCGGAATGATTGTGTTTTTTTCCTAATCTCCAGTGGGGTTATCAACATTGCTTTTTCTTATTCCGCGCAAGAAGAAATCGCCAGTGCCATAACTCAAACCGTGCAAGAGGCGATGGATCGAAAGATCTCTCCGAGGTTAGCTTTCGCGTTGATTACTTGAAGCTGAAGCGAGCACAAACCATCCATCAACCGCATGATTATCGCTTCACACTAACGTCACAAAATCCTCACTCTATTTACCTCCCTTTCTTTGATTTGCTGGTCTCAAGTTCGATTGATATTGATACTCTGGCTAGCCATCTTTACACCACTCACACACCGCCCTTGGACATGTTAGTCAGGAGCTCGGGAGTCAATCGAATCTCAGATTATTTGCTCTGGCAATTGATCATCAACTCGACCAGATACGTAAAGAATAACGAGGAAGAAACGACGGATGATTGGGGTAATCACACTCCGATCAAACTTGATAGAAACATTGTGGAGGGTGCTGCCTATCACATTGTGCCCACTCATTGGCCTAACTTCGGGATGGATGATATGGTACCAATCATTCTGAAATGGCAACTCGGCGAATTTCGAAAATATTTGGGACTGACAACCGAAACACAAGTTGGCAACCTTCTTAAGTGAGAGGCCAGAGCAATAAGACGGTTATTGTTTGAACAAGAAGCATCCCCTCGATTCTTTGGAGACACCTTTGCAGTACTGTCATTTCAAGAGATTTGTACGAGTCTGAGAGTAGTACTCAGCTCATCTTCATGTGAATTTTGAAATTAAGAAAAAATCAGGTTATGCGAAGATAGAAAATAGAAGTGGAAGGGTTGCTGTCTTGAGCAGACAAGACAGAGAATCCCTTTAGGCAAAGAAATGCCGGTAGGAATACCTGAAGATGGCCTCAAAATCTTTCAATTGACAAATCAGATTCTCCTTGAAATTTAATGGTTTTTATTGCCACAAGACCATACTTGTTTTAGTAAATCTGGGTTTGTATTAAGAAATGGAGGTACTTGTCACTTGGTCAACTACACAAGATGGAAATGAATTAAATTTTTTACACAAGCAGAACAAAGGATTCATGGATGGTCTATTGACAGGGTTGAAACTACAAATTTGTGAGGCTCAGGAAGATATCCAATATCTGCATGCACTAGAGTCAAGGCTTAATTTTTAGCCAAAATCAGTCCAAATTTTTAACAGATAAAAGAAAATGAAAGGATGACCCCCCAAGTGGTCCAAATTATCCTTGGAGTGGGATACAGACAGGATTAAAGGTTCCTGGGCCCACTTAGAAGAATGAAAGCAGTTCACTCTAAACCTGAAGGCACTGAACCAGCCTCTGCTCTACAATTTGATGTGTGGAACTTGACGTATCTGGCCAACATGATATCTAACTTGGGCACAAGCTCCTCAATCAGAGGTTTGTCAAAAACTAGTTCAATATAGGGGTTTGTAAAAATGACTCCCTAAAATTTGCCTATGACTCCCATTTTGGTCAAGGGTTTGTCGGACGGAAGTCGTCTTTCCAATCCCCCCTGGGGGATTGGGAGTCGGCCTCCCAATTGATTTTTTTTATCTTTTTGGGTGGGAATTGGCGCCCAAAACCCTCCTTGGAAAGTGGGAGGTTTGGGAGTTGCCTCCCTCCCACTGCCCGGGGGGGGGGGGGGGATTCCCTCCGGTCATCAAGACTGTACAGTCTCAATGACCGGAAGGAATCCCTTCCGGCCATCAAGATTGTATGGTCCCAATGACCTGAAGGGGTTCATACAATCTTGTTGACTGGAAGGAATTCCTTCCGGCCGTCAAAATTGTATGGTCTCATTGACCGGAAGGGATTCCTTCCCTGTACAGTCTCGATGACCCCAGGGAATCCCTCCCAGCCAGTGGGACTTGGAGGGAGGCGGGTCTCAATGATTCTTTCCGGTCATCAAGAATGTACAGTCCTGATGACCAGAAGGAATCCCTTCCAGTCATCAAGACCATTCGATGACCAGAAGGAATCCCTTCCAGTCATCAAGACCATTTGATGACCAGAAGGAATCCCTTCCAGTCATCAAGACCATTCGATGACCAGAAGGAATCCCTTCCAGTCATCAAGACCATTTGATGACCGGAAGGAATCCCTTCCAGTCATTGAGACCATTCAATGACCGGAAGGGGTCCTTGCGGTCATTGAGACCATTCGAATTTTGATGACCAGAAGAAGGCCCTTCCGGTCATCCAGACCATTCAATGTACAGAAGAGATTCCTTCTGGTCATCGAGACCATTCAATGACAGGAAGGAATCCCTTCCATTCATCAAGACCATTTGATGACCGGAAGGAATCCCTTCCGGTCATCAAGACCATTCAATGACAGGAATCCCTTACAGTAATCGGGACCATACAATCTCGATGGCCGGAAGGGATTCCTTCGGGTCATTGAGACTGTACAGTCTTGATGACCGGAGGGAATCCCCCCCCCCCCAGCCAGTGGGAGGAAGGTGACTCCCAAACCTCCCACTTGCCAAGGAGGGTTTTGGGAGCCAACTCCCCCTCAAAAAGTTAAAAAAAATCAATTGGGAGGTCGACTCCCAATCCCCCAGGGGGGATTGGAAAGACGACTCCCGTCTGACACACCCTCAACCAAAATGGGAGTCATTGGCAAATTTTAGGGAGTCGTTTTTCCAACCCCCTTAATATAAGCCTCTCAATTAGACTCGAGGTGTGTCAAGATCTAGCAAGTGGTTGTAGCAGCAGTGTAACTGATGTGATGCATGCATTGGCATCTGTCATTTATTGCATTGCATCAAGTGGGCAATGCAGGGGCCTTGCATCACATCAACCACATCAAAAATTGATGTGGAGTATTGGCATCACATCAATTCAGGAATGCACAATACTTTGGGAGCATTTCCAATATTATTGGTGTGCGTCGCCAAAAACAGAACACATCACCATTTGCATTGCTTTCCAATATGATGCCAATGCAATGCATTGCTTTTTAAACGCAATGTATCTGTATTGATTTAGTGTGCATTTCTAAAAAAAATGCAATACCAATACATGGTGATTTATCACATCACATCATATTGTTTCACCATTAGTTGTAGCTGTATTATGAGTTTGGGGGGGGGGTAAATTTAGTTTACCACCCCCTGGGGAGATGGTCTGAAAATCAGATTTTTCTGTTCTGAAAACCCTATCTGGAAGATGCTTTTCATCTGCAGATTATGATTTGTATTAGTAGCAACTTGGCAAGGAGAATTTGTTACGGCCAATTCCAGTGTTTTGTTAGAAGTATACTCATGCAATTTCACACTACTAGAGATTTGTGAGCCATCATGTGTGAGTTGTTTGTTGTGGTGAGATCACCCGTTTCTAATGACTTCTTGTGTCAGTGTCAGCCTCTATGCTACTAAACTGGTGGTTGTGCTATGAGTGTTGACAGAGTATGTGGTTTGAGTGATGATTGATGAGGGAATTTGTGGTAATTGATTGCTCAACCTGTAACACAAAGCACAGGGAGTAGTCAGTAAGATCTCTCAAACCTGACTCTTCCTACTGGGAGGGCATCCAGATCAATCCTTCAGGAACAGAGAGGCTTTGGGTGAAGAGTGTGGGACCTAGAGATGGTCGATTGGCATCCGGATATCCGCGCGGATGCGGATATCCGGCTGCTTTTTCCAGCCATCTGAGCATCCGAATCCGCATCCGCACCCGCAGGCGGGTATCCGTCGGCCGCAGCGGGTATCCGAGCGGGTATCCTCGGATACCCGCCCTCTAAAGGGCCGGCTGGAAGGGTGTCCTTCCAGCCGGCGAGGTACTTGTACCTCGTCGACTGGAAGGGTGTCCTTCCAGCCGGCAAGGTACTTGTACCTCGTCGACCGGAAGGGTGTCCTTCCAGTCGACGAGGTACCTGTACCTCGTCGACCGGAAGGGT